TGAGAACTAACAGGTACAGTGTACAACATGGGGAATCCACCCGCTCCAGTCATCCTTGATCCCTGTTCCCCTAAATTGAAGGAAACTACAGGTGGGGAGTTTAGGGTATATACAGAGGGCTTCTATAAGGCTTCTATAAGGTACATAGGCCTTCTATAAGGCTCCTACAAGGGTAACTACCCACCTGAAAATGTCCTAGACTAAACCCTGAACCCTGAAACTTTCTGGAAATTTGCGAAAGACCCCTAAGCCGAAGCCTTCCTCAGAGGGTCCTACGTACTTACATGGTAGAAAGCAGTGGTTTCTAGTAGGAAAATACCAGTATGGCTTGGGCAAGTAGAATCCCCCGTAAACGCTAAACCCGAAACTAAACCCTTAAACCCTAAACCCTATAAAAATCCTAAACCCTATAAGCCCTAAATCCCTAAAACCCTAAACCCCTAGAGCCCTAAACCCTGTAGGTACTGCGGACCCTTCTCCGGAACCTGTTCCCCAGAGCGGTGTCCTCCGCCGGCGCATCACCCCGCCGTGGCGGTGCAAATGCCTGGCAGTGGAATCCACACAGGGACGGTTAAGGGTTTACGATTAGGGAGGCCCTAAACCCTAAACCCTGAACCTTAAACCCTAAACCCGGGCTGGAGAATGCTGCTTTTGAATTTCGGCTTTTACAACAAGTTCAGGCTGCGGCTTGTGTCAGAAGGGTTTATGTGGCTCTTGCAGGGGGGTTCTGCCCATGAGCCCGCCCCCGTTATAGCATAGTAGAAGCCAAATAATTGGAACATTATACTCCTCATGCCCTTAAGGGCAAGCACAAGGGAAACTAGCATTAATCCTCCTAAGTCCATGCTCCAACTTTCTCAAAGGTGTCCCCCGGGTTAGAAGGGAACCTTGATCCTGACTTGGGTTTCGCTGTATACTCTGAGCTTCTGCTTTCAACTGGCATGTTTCGGCTTCCGGACAGCCCCAAACCCCTATGGTAGAAGCCAGAAAAACATGATTATCCTCATGCACTTATGGCCAAGTATAGGGGATCCCAGCACTACTCATCCTGATTCCATGTTCCAACTTTCTGGGATTCACTCTAAACCCTAAACCTTAAATACTCCCCAACGCAGACCTTTATGCCCGAGCCCTGAGCCCTCTTCACAGGTGCCAATCATCTTCGGGGCTGGCTACTGACAGAGCCCAAGCAAAAAGCTATGCTTGACATATAACATGTACAAATTTATAAGTTATTACTATTACTACGACGATTATTGTGACTATTATTAGTATTATTATGACAATTATTATGATAATAATAATAATAACTACTATTATTATTATTATTATCTGTGCATGGTAATTACCCCATAAGGTTGAGGGTTAGTGGACTCAAGCGACTGAACTTTGGATTTGTGGAGGTTCATGTTTTAGGTTGTAGGGTTCAGGGTTTAGGTTTTAGGTGTGGTTCGGTGCACTACGAAAAAACCTTGCTCCGTGCGAAAACCGTAACACCATGCTGAACTAAGAAGCTAATCTTCACAGACTCAACTCTCAGGCAAGTCGTCGCCCTTGAACTGCTTCCCCTCCACCGACGACAACGATCTCCAGGTCCAACTTCTCGGGGCCGCAGTCGAAAAATGTCTTCTTCATCATGTCCAAGCTCCGGGGGGTTCACGGGTACCGTAGGGCAGCAAAGCTTTCTCAAATTCAAAGATGCGGCGCCGGCGTCCTGTGCCCAACGAAGTCCCCCCGCGCGCTAGCCAGGTGGCGTTTTAGCCATAAACCCTAAACCCTAAACCCTAAATCAGGACTTCGGAATGGGCCAGGTAAACTGCGGCACCGCTGGAGCCAGCAGGCAGACCCCTAGCCGAACTGGATGCAGCAGATGGCGTTCCTCCAGCAGCCGACGCAGTGGCAGCCTCCCCCCCACAGACCATAACGGTTTAGGGTTTAGGGTCTAGGGCCCTAACCATCATAAACCTAGCAATGCAGAAATATAAGCATTCGTAGACGTGCTATTGAAACTCGTGTTGGTATTCGTGTAAGTATGGATGGTTACGATTGTTACTACTAGTGCTATCATTATATTGTTGTTAGTTTTGACAACCGTGAACTAAACAGAGTAAGTAAGAGCTTCAAAGCTTACCCTACACCCTAAGCCCCTAACCCCTAAACCCTACACCCCTAAACCCTCAACGCTGACCCTATCCCTAAACGGCCCTAAACCCCTAAACCCTACACCCAATTTGGGTCAAAAAGGGTGAGACTACGGGATTCTGACGTTCGAACTTGCTGTTTTTTGTTCCGAAGGCGGGAGGGGGGTTAACTGTTCAGGTTTTAGGGTTGATACGGTTTAGGGTTTTAGGTTTACGGTTGGAGTTCTGGATCCGTGGTTTGCGGTTTAGGGATTCGCTTGGGGTTTATCGTTTGGGGTTTAGGGATCCGGCTCAGACAGTTGATTTCTTGTTTAGCCTTTCGCAGTTTAACTTGCCTTTCAGGGGTGCAGTCAAGGTTTGCAGTTTAGGAGTTCATCGTTTAAACCCTAAACCCTAAACCCTAACTCTTGATGTCATAGCAAAGTAATCCGACAGCACTGAATATGCATCATCGGGTCGGAGCTCCAAAACATTTTGCGGCCATGTTGATCTCGTCAGATCATGGAACAGCCCGCTTTCTTGTTCGGATCGCCTGATTGGATTGACCCACTTCCCTGAAGTCCTCAGTGTGTGCTCCAGGCCGCCGATAGCTGACCTGACTCTCATTCTGGATGGAAGAGCCGAGCCAGAGATGCTTGACAATCTCTTCAGTACGGCTTCCGTCGTTATCCTTTCCCCATCTTCAGAGAGTGGATCAATGGTTGAACAATATTTTGTCAGCACTTCATCCAATCGTTCCCTGGATTCCGTCAGATGACCAGTCCCTTCAACACCTTGGAAGCAGGGCAGAAAATCTCTCGAATAAGCAGAGAGAAACACACATTGAGCCAGATCAAGCATCACTGGTACAAGAGAAGTCTCAGTCGAGTTCACGCAAGTGAGAGCTCGTCCGATGAATGTGTGCAAGTTGATTCTCAAATCCTCTGAGACCAGCTCTTTCACACCGATGCTCTGGCTACCGAATGATGTCCGCTCGGGGCTCGGGTCATGGTGTCAAGTTTCCGTCTTTTCCCGGCCTGTTCTTCTGAGTCCGGGCCTTTCATAGCTTGCGTGATTTCTGATCTGTGAGGTTTGTTCCCACCTGGTGTCTGTCCAGTCAGTTCAGAAGATTTCACTTCTGAGACAACGCCTGATGTACCTTTGCTCGCGGCTGCGACATCCTGTTCCTGCGTAGGGCGGGCGCGTAATGGCTCATTCGACAAACCGATCGACCCTGCTGTGACTTTTGTCTTCAACCTCAAAGGTTTGACGGTTGTTCGAGTTCGGGTATCAGCGGGTGAAATCTGAGTCGAAGCATAATTCTTTTGCCAGTGAAACATGTCACCATTCGTGATCATCAAAAATTGCCCCCAAAGATTCATAAGTTGTCTTAGACAAACTTGAAGGTATGCTTTTCTACCCACTCGATAGTCAGCAGGCCACAATGGGATGTCTCGTGAAAGATCAGTAAGTTCTTCATCTTCGACTTTGCTGTCCTTGTCAGTCTTCCTGAGGATGTGAAGGCATAGAGAAAACAGAAGGAAAAGGTGATTGATCAGGACACAACATTCTTTTCTGCCAAACGGGGGTTGGCTCTGGGACTCAAAAAGCCCGGGAAAGCATTCCAGGAGCGTCTTCTGCCTTGACAATTCTGTCTCTGAAAATATCGCATCGTGGAAGCTCATATAGATCCCCCTAGGGGTGACAGCTTTCTGCACCAAGCTTATGACCAGGAGGTCATCCCGAGGGCATGTGTCCTGAGATGGTGGAGCGATTCTGGGTGAGTCAAGCCACACTGTGGAAAAGAAGCCGACGGAAGTTAGTTCAGGGATCCACCTCTTAGCTGTTTCTATGCTGATTTCGGCTTTCGACACGTTGATCAAGTCACGCCTCCTTAATTTCTTCGCCCGGTCAAGGACAAAGATCCACCGAACACCCACTGCCATGATCGACCCCGCTCGGGCGATGGCAGATTTCAATACATGGTCGGCGACGAGACCTGAGCCCTGGATAGGCATGCCTGTAGATCTGAAAGACCTTTCGGCGTCGGTCCTAGCGGCGGAAAAGAGGGACGAACCAGCACACGCACCGGATGTGTTCAAGAAGGTCGATGCGGCCATAACTTTTGCGGGAGGAGGCGATTCAAAGGAGACAGATTTTTTCAACATCGGTTCTGAATCCAGGATGGAGAGATATTGACTTGAGATCTTGCAGACGGGTGACAAACATGCGAATCCTGTCAGAAGTTTAATGTCACTCACCGTCTTCAAAAGTCTGGAAGGAAGACCAACCAACATCTTCGGACCCAATTGCCCCTTTTGCGAAGGTGGGATGTAAGGAGCCGACGTACTTCTCCATCCAGAGATGGTGTAAAACTCCATATACCACAAGCGACATACGTGCCCACAAAGCCATGGATCACCGAGGAAATAGCCGCAGACATCGCACGTGTTAAAACACTCCGCCTTAGCCAAAGCCCCCAGTATGCGCAAGCTTATAGAGAGCTTAAGCGAAA